GAGTAAAAAGAAATCAAAAGTAATCAGATAATGATCTGATAGCAAGGGATTCTGTGGAAAGACTTTTAGGTTATCAATTTCAATTCCATACGTCAGAACTAGATCGAGGGTATGGTTAAAACAGTGAGTGGGTTCATGTACACCCTGACTGAAGCCAATGGAGTCTATTAATGAGATAAACGCGGTAGCCAGGGAGTCATTATCAACGTCGACATGAATGTTAAAATCGCCTACAATAATAACTTTATCTGATTTAAGAACTAAACTGGATAAAAACTCTGAGAATTCAGATACAAATTCAGAATACGGGCCAGGAGCACGGTACACTATAACAAATAAAAGTGGCTGCAAGGTTTTCCAGGTCGGATGTAAAAGACTAAGAACGAGGCTTTCAAATGAATTATAATCTAGTTTAGGTTTAGGGCTGATTAACAGACTAGAGTTAAAAATGGCTGCAACTCCCCCTCCTCGGCCGCTGCCTCGAGGAATGTGGGTATTATTATAACTGGGAGGAGTGGATTCATTGAGACTGACATATTCATCTTGACACAGCCAGGTTTCAGTGAGACTGAGTAAATCAATATGATTATCTGATATTAATTCGTTTACTAACACTGCTTTAGACGATAGAGACCTCCTCCTCTCCTCTCCTCTCCTTATTCTCCACTACCTTCTTTTGCCCTCTTCTTTTCTTCCTTTAAATAGTCAGGCGCTAATTCTTATAATTACCTTTTAAATAAGCTCTGAATATTCTAAAAGAATCCCAAAGAACAGAGGCATGCAGCTCAGCACTCCTCCTCTCCTTTTCTGCACTCTTAAGGCAGCACAGCCCCAAACTGCATGTCATTTTTGTTTAAATAAATTATCAGAGACACAACATGGGAGACATAAACTTTATTTCAAATTGAGTTTTAGCTGAAAAATATGTGTGGAAGTGGGAAAGAAATTAGGCATTTGTCTCTGCTCACCCAAATCTGACAGAGTTGGAGGTAGTGGGATTTTATACCTGGCTAGCTTATTGGCAGGTTAAGGCAAGTCAAGTCAAGTTTATTTATATAGCACATTTCATGCGACAAGCGCAGACTCAATGTGCTTAAAAACAGAAACAAAGGTACATTGTACATGACAAAACATAAACATTATGATAAGAGTGACTAACATTTATAAAAACACACAAGATGTAATCAAAGGTGTTGGTTATACAAGATAAGAGGATATCTTTCTTATCACGGTTAAAAACAGGAGATAATAACAATAATAATACTAATTCAGTAAACCTAACTAAAGGCTTGTGAGAATAGATATGATTTAAGTTTGCTTTTAAAAGAAGACACTGAAGTAGCAAACTGTAGTTCAATTGGCAGCGAATTCCAGAGAGTGGGACCATAATGACTGAAGGCACCAAAACCTGAATTGGAGTTGATTCTGGGTATTGTGAGGAGACCTTTGTTTGATGATCGAAGGGATCTCTCTGGTACGTACTCAGTGAGCATGTCAGAAATGTAGGAGGGAGCTAACCGATTAAAACATTTATAAACAATAAGAAGAACTTTAAAATCAATTCTTTGTTTTACTGGGAGCCAGTGTAGTGATGATAAAATCGGGGTAATATGGTCAGACCTTTTGATTTTTGTTAGTACCCTAGCAGCTGCATTCTGAATAAGCTGGAGTTTGTTTAATGTTTGTTTTGGCAGTCCAGCAAAGAGGGCATTGC